GGGGGGGAAAGCAGAGACTGCTCCAGCAGCAGCCGCTGCGCCTGGCCCAGGGGCTGCCCAAGCTGCCCCCGGGCCAGGCCCACCAGCCACTGCACAAGTCACGGAGGTCACAGAATCCATGACCTCCATGACAAACACAGAGCTTTACTCATGAGGCAGCATAAAGCACTAATCCATGAAAATTTAGCCAGTAAATTCTGAATTCTCGTGCAAGTTGGAAAGCACGACACACAGATATATCAAAATATAATTTTCCATTTAAAAACTTACTTCTTAAGCATGTGTGTAAATTAATAAAATACTTTTTAACAAATAAAGTCATCAGTGCCTGCCACATAACAACAATATAATGTAGTTCTTACCTTTAAGTTATTCAATTTAGCTGTTACTGCAGTGGATTCAATTACACTAGGACCTAAATGATAGTCAAAAGGAGAGAAGACAGTACTGAAGTAAATCCATAAATAATGACATCATAGTAAGATAATTATACAAGTCTGAAGTATCTTTAATCTCAGGATTCAAAGCACTTTGCAAATATTAGTTACGCAATACCCTAGCGAAGCAGGCAAATATTACACCAGGGTATAGATGTGTAAACTGAGGGGCAAGTCCCTTGATAGCCATGCAAGGCCACTCAACAATTAAGTAGCAGAACAGGGACTAGAAGTCAGGAGTGCCAAGTCCCAGATCCCTACTATACCACATGCTACAAATGCATTCAAATAAGACAATAGATATTTCCTTACAACTAATTGTTTTTTGTTTTTTACAATCCTATTAAAAATTCACAGCCCACCCCAACTAATAAATTGACTCTGCTATGTTTGTGATTAATAAATTATTAGTAACTGTCCAATAAAGACTGGTGCTGTGGTTAATACTTGTGTCTAGAGGTGGAAGTGAGGAGGCTTTATTATGGAAGAGAGATCTATTTAAGTTGCCCTACAGCATTAGAGTACCCAGTGCACCATTTGCATGCCTTGTGGTTACCGTAATGATCATTAGTGGAATATGTGTTGGATTTTGACCATCTTGGCCCGTTGAAGGGAATTACCTATGTTTGTGTCTACGTTACATATAATTAAGGCTAAGATTTTTAGTAAAAGTCACAGACAAACAAAAATTCATAGAAGCCGTGACCTGTCTGTGACTTTTGCTGCTGCGGCTCCATGGTTTCTCCCACCACCGTGGTGGCTGGGAGCTGTGGGGTTCCCCCTCTGCATCCATGGGAGCTAGAAACTACAGGGTGATCATATTTCCCAAAGAGAAAATGGGAAACCCCCAGCCACTCGCCTGAGGTGGTTCCCCCAACCTGCGCGCGAGGCTGTCCCCCGTTGCTGGAACCCTGAGGAGGGCCCCCTCAGCAGTCTGTCACCTGTCGCTGGAACCTTGCAGGGGGCCCCTTGTCGCTGGAACTCTGCCAGAGCCCCACTGGCTGCCAGCTCCAGAGTCCCGCAGCCCCTGGCACTGAAGCAAGCAGAGAATGTCACAGAGGTCTCTGGAAGTCACGGATTCCGTGACTTTCATGACCTCCATGACCTAAATGTAACCTTATATAAATTGATCCTTATACACATAAAAAATGTGAATGGTTTTATCGAGGTTCTACTGCAGATATGGATGTTGTTTTCAACAAGTGACATTTAAATTGATTTGTTAAAGCAGCAGACTGAATGGCTCTTCTGGTCATGGAGCTAAAGAATAATGAACAAACTATTATACACTCAGCCTCACAGAAACAGTGAAAATGAACCTTTACAGAATTAAGGAGAACTTAGGTAGGTGAGCAGAAAAACTACCAGCACAGAAAACAAGCTCAGCATCTTCATAGGCCAACTTGCATCTCTTCTGCATTCTTTACTCCACAGAACTAGCACGAAAGAACCACGAAAAAGGGAAGGAGAATGGATGTCTCTTAGAGACAACAGATCTGAACCAGGTCCTGGGTTACAAAGATCAGAGCAGCAGACATCTTTAATTTAATTTCAGTTTCCCTTGAACAACAAACTGAAACGTTTCCTTGTTTAAAAGAAAGGGGGGGGGGGGGACTCTCTTACAGACAGACCAGGTTTTTTCTGTAGGTTGGCTCAGGAATGTGCAGCTAGGTGTTTAGTTTTTAAAACTAAAATGCACTCAGAAAGTACTTTTTAAAAGAATGATATGGACTCTGCAAGTGAGCATAATAAAAAGGTAGATCAAATATTTTTCCTCACAAGGTCAAGTAAGTCCTTTTAAAAGCAAAAATCAATCAACATAATTATGAGTTGGGTCCATGCCCTGTCAACACACCTGGCTGCCAAAGCAATCTCATGAGGATAAGAATCCCACAGCACCGCCAATTCCTGAAGAAAATCAAAGGTCGGACCACACTTCCAACAGGGTACAAAGAACCATGAATTTCTTACAACAGCAGAGTTACATGGGACAGGGGCATCCACATCATCAGAGCTACATGCAAGTAGATTCAATGCAACACACTAACAACAACATTCCATACTGAGAACTGTCATTCATTAGGCCTGAACAGCTCAATTTTTTTACTTTTACGAGAGCATTGCTTTGCCCATTATTAGTCAAAGCAGCTGTCACATGCCTGCAAGTCCCAATCAAGTAATTAGAATTGAATGTAGCACACATAACAGAAGAATATGGCCCAATTATTTAGCTGAGTCAGAAACAGGGGAATGGCTTCATTAGAGCTTTCTTGCTTAATAGTTCATAAGAGATGTAATCTGAAAACTACATTTACAAAAAATCATATTAAGGACCCATGCATTGCCCTAATTTGCCCCCAGGCACCTCCCAGCAATGTCACTCTTATGTATGAAGATGATGGCAGTTAGTTTGGTTCTGAAATTTTAAGAGACAAACTAACAGCATCTAAGACAGTTCTATTTTATGGCTGATTTTTGCTCATTTATGCTACAGTTATTTTTTGTTCATTTGTTTAAAGCAGCTTTTGAGTGTGGCAAAGTTCAGCAGCACTGAATAGAAAAATGTTTCCATCTTCTTCATTTGCAGGATGGCCAGAATGAATTTAGAATTCTTGTCTGGTATGTTACCAAAATAACACCATAACATATGATATAGATACCCCCGATCCTACTCTCAAGACCACCACCACCACTCCACAAGTCACCCTCAGCCTCCAAAATCCTGGAACATAATATGGCCCCCACAGAGTAACACAGACCTTCAGCCACATTTTAAACTGGAGACTCAGTTACTATTTATTAATGAAAAGCTGTTTGCCCACTTTACAGTATTATCAAAAATATTTTGCATTTCTATAGCACCTTCCATCCAATGCATTACAAACAATTAATTCTCAACACCCTCATGGGGAAGCAGAGTATTATCCCCACCATTTTACAGATGGAAAGACTGAGGCAGAGAGAGGATAAAGTGTGATTCTAAGTAAAAAGCTACACCTTCTTATTCAAGAGATCTGCTCATGTGTACTCACTTACTATTGCAAAGTATTTACTACTGCCAGCTCTGCAGAAAGCACAAACCTCTGGAAGAATAAACTGGATTCTTTTCTGGCCTGTGCATCAGAACAATTCACAGTATTCTAATTACAGAGTCAGCTATTTTCCTTAGCTACACTTGCATAATCCTCACTGAAGGCAATAACGTTTGACAGCTGTAACCAAGAGCATAATCTGAGACAACAGGGCTGCATTAGTATAAATGAGTGGTAAATTGTTTGTACTATTGAAGCTGTACAAGTTAAAGAATGCAGTTTGATTCTCAGATCTCAAGCTGAATTTGCAGTTGCAGGGCTGACAGTTACACACACACACACACACACAAATAGAAAGCCTCTCCTTTTACTTGTAAACTGAGCACATTTGAGATGGAGTCATTGAGACGGGAGATGGAACACCACACGATGCCATTTTTCACAGAGCCACTTTGAGTAACATCACAGCCATGAATGGTATCCAGATTTCTAACACCCAGTCCTGTGTTTTAATCACCATACTTCCTCTTAATATGTTGCTTTTCTATCCCAAATGTATGCAGGTATTAGCCACCTGTAATCAGCAGACCAAAGCTTCTTAGACACATCAATCTTCCATTTAGCTAATCTTAAATGCACCATTTGCTTAATTAGCATCTACTTCAGTACAGAAACTGTACAACTAAGCAAGGAAATCTATTCAATACAGATGTAAGAAAAAAACTGTAAACATCAGATGCCGACTTGCAACTATGTACAGCTCCAGAGATCTCAAGGCACTAGCCTCATTAACACTGGAACAAATCTGTGGAGAATAAGTCATTTACACAAGTTAAGGTATAGAAACAGCCATAGTTTTAAAAAAAGACAATAATAATCTTACCTGCAATTCCTATGAAGACTGTCAAACCAAAACAAATGAAGAATACAACAAAGACCAGAACAAAGTGTCGTTTGGACAGTGTATACAATCGCATTGGTGCTAACCTGCAGGAAGCAAAAGAAAGCCCAGAATTAGCACTCAGTAATGGCACTTGTAAAAAGAGACTGCATCAGCCAGTAAAATAAAATAATTTCTGTGCCAACGTGGAATACCAAGAAGAATCCATCAATGATGCACTTTTACAGAGCAAACGTAACAGTTTCCTTCCAGCCTCGCACACCTCAGTATCGCCAACTCTCATGATTTTTTTTCTAAGTGGTTAGAGGTTGAAAATACTGCACACTAAAGAAAGTGAAGTTTTTCTTGTTCTAGTACTTTAAACAGCAGTTACCATTTCTTTCATGCCAAAAGCATTTTCTGCTATCCTAAGATCTAACTGTGGGAAAGGGTCTCCTCCTTAACTCCTCCCGGACAGAAAAAAGTTCTATATTTGAGCTCAACTATCTGATATATAGACACACACAGGGTATTCTTAAGACTAACAGAAGTATTGGAGTACGTCTGATGAAGTGGGCATTCACCCACGAAAGCTTATGCTCCAATATTTCTGTTAGTCTTAAAAGTGCCACAGGACCCTCTGTTGCTTTTTTCAGAGTCAGACTAACACGGCTATCCCTCTGATACTTGACACAGGGTATTGTGAGGATACCATATTTCTAACCATAAGAGCGAAAGCTGATGCTGATGACCTGTATCGCTTAACTGAGGCCTGGTCTACACTATGACTTTAATTCGGATTTAGCAGCGTTAAATCGAATTAAATGGCTTCGTTGTGTGGACGGGTGCAGGGTTAATTCGAAATAGAGGGCTCTTAAAATTGATTTCTGTACTCCACCCCGACGAGCGGAGTAGCGCCAAAATCGATATT